AAAATAAAAAAATAAGCCAAAAAAAAAATCCTGACATCTACCGCCGCCATGTCGGAAAAACTATGCGACAAACACGACGGCAGCCGACAAAAACCCTTCCGCTTCGTCGTCATGTTTCTCGTCGTCGTGCTCGCCACCATTTTCATCACTTGGGCCGTCCTCCGGCCCACGAAGCCCACATTCACCCTCGAGGACGCCACCGTCTTCAAGCTCAACATCTCGGCCCCAAACGTCGTCTCGGCCACCATCCAGGTCACCGTGTCGGCCCACAACCCAAACTCCAAAATCGGCATCTACTACGAGGCCCTCCATGCGTACGCAACCTACCGTGGCCAGCAGGTCACTTACTTCACGACAATCCCACCGGCCTACCAGGGCCATGGGGGCGTCGACACTTGGTCACCGTTCATCTACGGGGCCGACGTCCCCGTGGCACCGTACAACGGACTTGCCCTAGCCCGGGATACGGCCGATGGGGCAGTCCCACTTATGATCAAGGTCAACGGTCGGGTCAAGTGGCGGGTCGCGTCGGTCGTGACGGGCAAGTACCACCTGCACGTCACGTGCCCAGCAGTCATCCCGATTGGGAATGGAAAGAATGTCGGGATTGTGGTTGGCAATGCGATCAAGTATCAGCTCTCGCAGAGTTGTAGTGTCAATGTTTAATCGAGTCGAGTCGAGTCGAGCACAACGTAACTTAGCTGTGCTTTTTACTTTGTCTTTTGGGTTAGAGTGGTTACTTAATTGATAATTTTTATTATGGTGCTAACTTCGCATGAAGACTATTTATGTTTTTATGTTAAGAGAAAAATTATGCAATGATTATTGATTTTATATATCTTTTATCTCCCATACATTAATATGCAATGTATCTCGATGTTATAGTTTGAATTTGAGATTTTGGCTTTCCCTTTTTATAAATAACATAATATTAATCTAGTGACATTCATATCAATTTTAAATTTAGTCTAACCATTAATTATCCACTAATAATTTTCAATAATTATACATACTAGATATCATCCTATGCACATGCACAGATGTACATAAAATATTATAAGTAATATGTGTGAATTTAATATTAAAATTATAGATGATAAACATATCACATTTTCAAGATATGTGAATTTAATATTAAAATTCTAGATAATAAACATATCATATTTTCAAGATATGTGAATTTAATATTAAAATTCTAGATAATGGACATACCACATTTTCAAGATTTAATCATTAGTGAAAATAAAATAATATTTATATAAATTATTTGAGTACATATGAATCACTATATTGGTTAAAAAAATTGTGGGTAATGTAATTTTTTTTTACTTGAATCACTATATTTTTTTTTGTAATTTTTATATAATTTTTTTTTTATTACAAGTAATAATAATAATAATAATAATAATAATAATAATAATAATAATAATAATAATAATAATAATAATAATAATATCAT